GACAGCTTAGAGCAAGAGGGATGTGCTGGAAGTTGTCATCCCAGAGCCCACTCCAACAAGCAGCAGGCACTGCTCCATTTTTGGGGGGAAGCAAGAGCGAAGCAGGTTAGTGGGGAGAGGGGTGCAGCGGCACAGGAGCCGGCGCAGAGGGAGGGGGTGGGCTCAGTGTGACAAGTGACATTGAGCTTGGTACAAGCAGGGGCGGGGGAGCGGGCACCCAGGCCCTAGGAGCGGGCACACAGCAGGTGAGGAGAGGCCAGGGCTGCCCCCATGCCTGGGGTTTCTCTCGCATGCAGAGGTGGCCACTGAGGCTGCCTGGGGGTCCCCCTGGCACCGGCCCCCAGCCCAGTGTCCCAGCCCAGCGCCAGGCCCTGCACAGGTAAGGCCTTTCCCCCCAGCCTGGTCCCTCCTCTGAGCAGCTCCAGGTAGGCTGAAAGCAGCTCCAGCTCAGGTCAGCACTAGAGGCCCCTCCCTGGGCCAGTGCCACCACCCCAGTTTGCATCCAAAGCTGCTTCGCTCATCCCCCCAAGCCTGGAATAACATCAAGCCTCATCTCCAAGAGCCCCATGGAGCTGTAGGCCAGGTCAAACTTGGCTATTTTGGTTAAAGAGAGCCAGAGAAACCTCCCAGGCTGACCCAGCACACCCAAAGCCCAGGTGCACCACTAAGCCCTGCTGACCCAGCTGCTGTGGCAGTGGGAGGACCGCAGGCCCACAGTCCTGCCCCACAGCAGGGCAGAGGAAGGGACCAGATCCCCGCAGCAGCTGCAGACAGACACCTCCTGCACCACCCTGGGGACCCCACCAGTTCACATTCACTTCAGGGTAAAACTCACCGTTATCTGCTAAATGCAATTTAATACTGAGGGGAAAAGGGGAGCCCCACCACGGGTGAAGAGGAGGGGGGAGCAGGACTGCTCTCACCACCCACCCACCCATTCAAGCAGCCCTGGGGTTTTACACACGCTTGGGGCCACGTGTGCTCCCACACGCAGGCTCTTACTGAGCCAGCTCCAGCTCGAAGCTTTCCCACAAGGCAGCAGCCTATAAAGTCTCCCCCCTCGCGTGACAGCGGCCATCAAGCCAGCCCTCTTCCTCCACCATCAGCTAACAGGTTGGTTACAAGGTAGTGACCTCAATGCCAGTAGGAGCACTTGATCTCACCCTCCCAGGCCTCTGCTAGGATCCGCTTTGAGCTCAGCTTTGAACCCGCAGTCCTAGGTAGGGCAGTTCAGCAATCGGGCGAACCAAGGACCAGCAGTCAGAGCAAGACCACGCTCAGCCCAGAGGGTGTGAACGGGGCACGGTGTGCTTTAACATCCACCGCAGGAGGCCCTGCCCGCAACGCGCTCGGCCGAGGGAGCCCCACGCTCCCGAGGGAGTCAGGATGCAGAGTACTTCACGGAACACGTCTTTGCAGGAAGACACTGCCTCTCCCAGCTATGGATGTGCAATTAAAAGAGTAACTAGAACAGTCTCAGACCAAGCAGGGTCCGAGCAAGATTCGTTCCTTCCAAGTGTGCAGATAAAAGTGCAAATATGCATTTGATGTTTCTTTTCTAGTGAGGAAGCTCTGGTGCATTTAGCTGCCAACATCTTGAAGACCAGACCAAGAAAAAGCTTCCAAAGAGTTCAGCTTCACTTTGCTACATGGTACCTTAAAGTCACAGTTCTCTCGCTTACTGCCTGCAGCCGTAGGCTCAGTCCTGCTCACGGCTGCAGCAGGTAGTGGAATGTTTGTGTCGATGAGTTAGATGCTTTCGGGGAAGAAGGAAAGAGAAAACCAGGTTACAATCCTATACATGAATGCCACTTCTGGGAAGAAAGGGACCTCGCAGCCTCTTCAGTTCTGTGGTGCAGGGCATGAGCTATGGTGGTTATTCGTCTCCGAGCCGCCTGCGGCAAAGAGCAAGGGGGCACTGTCTGTAGCGGTTCCGCCGAGGTGGGGACCCGCCACGTAGCTGTCGTTCCCAGCCAGGGACCCATAGCAGCCCGAGCACTGAGGGGTGGCCAAGCTGGGAGGAGAGACACAAAAACCAAACATGGACTCTTAGAGAGGAATAATTTGGCTGCGGCTAGTCTCCACCGCTAGGAAAAGCTTCCGCTCCCAGCATCGATCAGGGTGTCCGAGTCTGCAGAAGCAGGCTATGACACGCCCGCATGGCATCTCCAGGGAACCTGGCTTTGAGGGAACGGGTACAAGAGCAGCACCAGGCCCTACCAAACCAGTCAAGAAGAGCCAGAACCTCTGAACCCCTCACTGCACCCTGGCAGGTGGAGTTCAGCCCCCTGGGCAGCAAGCAAAGGGCAGGGCTGTCAGGTTCCCCCTTACAGTTTTGCTGGGGATACCTGACTATTCTCCCCCGTGCCAGGTATTCCTGCAGAGCTTTGTCCCAGCGGGCTCCCAGAGACCACATCCCTCCCAGGACTTCACCACCTCTCACCAGCAGGGCAGAAACCCCTCTGGAGGTCATTTAAGAGCCCTTCTGCCCCTACAGCTGAGGAAGGATCCATGCAAGATCGGCCCTCAAGGATGAGGCCTCCTCTCTGTAGCCACTGCAGGTTTCTACCCAGTGCCATATCCACCTCTCGGAGCTGGCCCCTTCTGTCTAATACAAACAGCTCCTTGCAAGCTGTGGAAGGGAACAAACCCAAACTCAGTCAGAAGGCTCCTTGCCCCATCCACCTTCCCCGAGCTGCCTCTTGTACCAAAATTTTTTCCTAAGAGCAGGAGCCAAGAGCTCTGTTGGTTCCACACAGGGCAGCAGGATGGCAGCCGTGCTGTCTCTTGCCTGACAATGCTTACCCTCCTTCTCTGGCCCCAAGCCGTGACAAGTCATCATCGCTGTCGTAGCGCCTCGGATTGTCAAAGAAGTAGGCTCTGGAGCTGTAGCTGTGACTATTGACCATCCCCGCTGCAGTCTGTTAAAGAGAACAGAGTTAGGCCAGAAGTGAGGCATTTCTGACCTGCCCCCCCCACCCCAGGCACTCCGGAGCTCCTCCCTGCCCAGGGGTACTCGAGCTACAGCAGCTCACACAGGCCTACCAAGTTCTGACTCAGTCTCTGAGCCCGGAAGAACAGCACCACAAAAGTCGTTGGCACCAGCTCCCAGAGGAAGAGGACCACTCCAAACACCACGTACTCTTCACTGCTCGTTTCCACGTGTGCCTGTGGACAAAAGTGAGAGGTCTCTGTGCAATCCTAGCTGTCAAAGCTAAACAGCTCCCAGAGCTAGGCACAGCTTAGAACTAGGAATGCAGAGAAACCCTTAGGAAGGCAGGAGTCCCTAAACCAGAATAGTGACCCTTACCTGACTGCTGCTGCTGGTTTTGGTGAGAGAGTTCTCTTCAGCATGCTACCAGGGTACTGCTAGCTCCCTCCCCACACTGAGGACTCTCCCCTGCACACAGCCACACCTGATTAAGCACTGCTTTTCTGCTCTAGTTGACTCGTTCCTCCTCTTCCCCCAAAAGAAGAGTTGGCAGGCTAAAGTTGAGGAGCGCAACAGGGAGCCCCTCCTGAAGAAGTAGCCAGATAGAGGAAGATTCAGGTTTGCTCTGGTGGGGAGCACAAGCAGGGCTTCTGAAGGCAGAAAGCCAGCTCCTCTGGCGATTCAGCAAAACAAGACACCCCCACATAGCCCCCTTTTCACCTCCACATGCCCTTACAGGTCAATACAGTAACTGCCTTTCACCTTACTGGCTCTGGATTGGGGGTCACAGACACTCACCTTGTCTGAAAGGTTGTCCCAGCCATAGTTAAAAGGACCAGGAACACTGTCTGGAGATATGGCCACAGCTACCAGGTTATAGCAAGCCCTTGAGGAGTACAGAAGAGCGACTACAGATCCCACAAGAATAGCCTGGCAGACAGATGTTCCCTAGAACAGGAAAAAAACCTAATTTTAATACAGACCTTCCTACAGAGCTGCAATTCCCCCCCCTCCCTTAAATATAGGAGAAGCTGTGCAGGCAAGAATGACCTAGAACATTTGTGCGTTGTTGCTAAAATATTCAGAGCTGGTTAAGAGCTTCCTTGTGTGATGAGTTTGGTGCAGCAGCAGAGCTGTACAGCTTGTGTCGCCAGGGAGCAGGGAAGACTCAAGGCACAAGAGCATCGTTCTCAGGATCTTACCAGTCAGCTTCAAAATGGTGGCCCCAAGAGGTGCTATCCCACCTGCTGCCTGACTGTGGTAGGCTCCAGAAGGCCAACCAACAACCCTAAGTCACCTTGCTGCTTCTACACCCTGAGCAGACACTACAGCAGAAATGTCCACCCAGCTCACTCGCTCCGCAGCAGTTTAGCATCCTGACATTGAACACAATGCTTGTCTAGGAAAGAAGCCCAAATGTTTGGGGTGGGCAACTCTGAGAACAGGCAGAAAGACCCAGCACCTGAACCCCAGCACTGCTGTGGGACAAACCAGGCTTTGCTATATGCAGAGCAGTGTGCTAAAGTCCTGCCTGATGTTGCAGGACCTCTGCCTCCTGCTAGCTGTCCTGTGCTGGTAAAGAGCAGCTTGCTCCATGGTGTTTCAGACACAAGGATAGCTGCAGGAGATACCCAAAGGTCACAGTACCTACCTTTCCCAGAGCTAGCCACAGGAGAGGAAGCTACTTGAAGATCTGCAAGTGTCTCCATTTCTTTACTAAATACACCTGTAAAGCCTTTTAATAGCTACTGGTAGCCACCAAGCCACTGCACAGCAGAAGCCAGTAAGAGGGCAAACATGTCTCAGCAGCTGACTTGCCTTTATATTTGCCTGACACTCAGCTCAGGAAGCACATCTCCCTGAGCAGCTCCACAGCCAAGGCATGGGTATGCTAGCTCCATTTTCCTAGCTTTACAGCACTTGCTCAAGACTATCTTGGAAGAGACTGCACAAAAGTGCTGCTAACAGACAAGTCCCTGTGACACCACTGAAGCACAAGAACACAGCCTGCTCTAGCACCGTTGGCTGAGCCCTGGGTGTTCAGGAGAGCAGAATAAGAGGCAGAAAGGCCAGTGAAGCAAGTCTCCAGCTGACGAGGACCACAGCATAGGATCTGGCTGTGGCTCCGTAGCACAGCCTCAAGTGTCAAATGGCTCAAACCCTCCTACCTTCAGAGGCAGCCACCTCACCAGGCCCCTCCAGCCCTGCTGTGTTGTTTTGAGTCAGCAGGTTCACAGCTGGAGTTCAGGAGGCAGGACAGCCTTTGCAGGCATTTGTGTAACACTTCTGTTCATCCCCACCCTATTTTTGCAGCTCCTCAACAACACACAGTCAGGGGATGCCTCCAAGGCAGGGAAGGGAAACAGCATTTGAATGCAAGAGACCTTTACCAGACCATCAGGTTGAGTGTTCAACCCCAGAGCAGGCTTCTCTAGAGCATGTTGTACGAGAGCATGGCCCCACAGGCAGCCTCTGGCACATAACTAGAGGAAGTTACTGCATTTGTAAACTACTGCTGGGTGAACTTGATAAGTTAATTAGTGTCTAGAGCCAGTCAGAGCTGGATACCTGGCCCATGCAAGCAGGGATGTGAGCAGGTTCTCAGCTTAGTCATGGCTCCTCTGTCTCACTTCAGATCACCTGGCTGCAATCTGCAGCCTCTGCAGATAGCTGTCACAAGAGCCAGCTAGGCAGCCCCTCCCAGCTGCCCACAGCCCACACCCCCTGGGTTCTGGGCAACCACCGATGCACTCTGCTGCTTAAGAGGCCCAGACTTCTACAGAAAGCCTCAGCTTCAACCTTGACAGCACAGCTTTGGCCGCCCTCTCAGCTCTCACTTGGCTGCACAAAGAGAAGGGGCAGCAGACTGGAGCCACTGGGGTGGTCATGCAAACAGCCTGCGAAGGGGCAAGGAGACACCTCCAGCCAATGCAAGGCAGTCGTCTGGATCCAGGATGTCTTTGTAGCAGTGTCTGCTGCAAGGCAGCTTCTCACCCTCTTCATCCTCTTCCTGAGGGGGCACAGAGCCATCCAAGAGCCTCCAGGAGCTCTACACTCTGGGCAGCCCCTCACCTGAGCCAGACACAGCAGTGCTTTAAGCCCATGTAGATTCACCTGACTGAGGGCACACTGGAAATGAGGTCTCTGTGGGAGGCCAGAGCCCCACCTTCTGACACCTGGAAATAGGCAATTCAGAGCATATGGGGTAAGGAGTTGCACTACAGGGAAAAGACATTAACTCAAGAGCACTGGAGCCAGGCAGGTGGCTTCTCCAAGCCTGACTACACTCAGGTGCTAAGTTTTTCCTGAAGATGTTTCCAGGCTCATCAAGAGACTGCTGTCCACCCTCCTCACCAGGTCAGGTCCCCACCCTGGAATCACTGCCTTTGATAGGAGCGATACAGCTTCCCAAAGGACAAGGAGGCAGCTCAAGCACACACTTAATTGCAGCCTACTGCCACAATAAGACAAGACTGCTGGTGGCTTATCCACTTTCCTACCTGCTTGAGAAGAGCTGTGTGTGTTCAGACCCCCACCCATTGTTCTGCCTTGGGGCAGGCCCTACAGCAACTTCTACTCTCCTTCCAAGATACTCATCTCATCCAGGACAGGCAAGCACTGCCTCTGGCTCAAGCAAGCAGGCAGCTGAAGCTGGACTGCTGGGGGGATCCCCTTTGCAGGGAGTCAGAGATAACAATATGCTGCAGACTTCGCTGCCCTTAGTGACAATATACCACAGAATCTGCAGCTGCTACTCTGAGAGAACCCTCTCTTCCAGTCAAACCCTAAATTATACTTCTAAACCCAAAAAGCACAAGCAGCTCCTAAGTCTCCTGTTGCACCAGAAAAGCCACAGACAATGTATTCCCTTAAAATATATATGGTACTTCATTCCCACAGCAGCTGCATGCACATTCTGGGGTGAGGAGTCCAAGAGCTGCCACTTCCACACTGGAAGGAGTATTTGAGCAAGAGTAGCTCAGGTGCCACCAGGCCAGCATTGCTTGGAGTGAGCACACACAGATGCAGCTGAGAGTCCGGCTGATGACTGCACAGTTCCGGTGTAGTTAACAAGGCATTTACCCACCTTAGACTCGAGGTAGACATTTGCTGAAGACATCTTTCCCAGTTTGCACACACAGCAAGCCAGCGAGATGGCACAGAGGATGAAGAGGCTGTCGTTGACTAGGGCACGGGCAAGGACTGTCCACCTCAGCTGGTTCTCTGGGACCTCACCGTGGATTAACATTGCACAAGTTAAGTTCACAACTAAGAAGAGGAGGCTGGTAAATATGGAGCCCAGATACAACAAGACCCTGGTGGCGGAAAAAAACCCCAAACAAACAATGGAGTTCAAGTCAGACAATTCTGGGGTCATTCTCCACCACCCTCCTGTCTCCTCAGGCAAGAGGACCTCCCAGCATGCCCAGGGCTCTGCTTGCTATGAAGATCAGACATTCCAGCAAGTTTCAGTGGTTGTATTGACAGCGCAAGTCTGCAGAGTATTTGTCTGAGCTGCTCTCATAATGCATGAGCAGTGTAAGTAGTCATGAGTTACAAGACTCATCTTCTGACAGTCAGGTTCTTATCTTGCAGATTTTAAGTGTTGCTCCAGCTCTGCATTAACTTCAGTCAATAAGCTATGAGTCATCACAACCACTGCAACTCCTTTATTGAAAGCCACTGGAGCTTGTGTTTTCCATTGTGGGTTTCCCTGGAAATGGCTAGGAAGCGCCTGGGCTGCACAAACACGGGTCCCACCAATTGCTCAAGCCTTATTCTGCAGATCTTTACTGGGGTGGGACAGCTCAGAATGACCTCAAGAGTTCATCTAGTGTGCTAGCAACACCAGTACTGGGATACTGATGACATGCATGGAGGCATGCAGCATAGGCTTTAGCTTCCTTGGTACCCTTGGAGCTCCCAGCCCTGCTCAAAGGCACAACTCGGATCCTCCACCAGAGCACAGCCAGGTAGGGTGTTAGCTCTGTTCAGTCTCTGGGGTCTGAAGCTCCCATCCTCAGCACTGCAGTGTGAGTTTTCTTTAAGCCAACTTTGAAAGCAACATTTGAAAAAGTATCACTTACTTGTACTTGTTGAATTCAGCTGCACATTTCACTTTGAATATGACCTGGGGGAAAGATTTGCATAGCATTACTTAACATGACCTACAGTTCTCCTTTAAGCTTAGTAAAGGTATATGCAACTGGGGAGCCAGCATCCAGCTGGACATCCTGAAGGACTCTAGATTACTAGCACCAAGCTTCACACTGGACCCACTTGCAAGACAGACTGGTGTTCTTTTTCCTGTGAGAGCCAAGCCCAAATGCAGGCGGCCAGTAGGCATAGAATCATTTAGGTTGGAAAAGATCTTTAAGATCATTGAGTTCAAGCATAAACCTAATGCTGCCAAGTCAACAACTAAGCCATGTCCCTATAAACATTTACTATCCCATATGCGACACAGACTTTAATAAACCCCACTCCTAAGGGCTTCAAGAAAAGCAGGGAGTTTAAGTAGTCGGTAAGAACATTCAAAAATACATCTACTTTGCCCAGTGTTCTGTGATGCATATTTTAGGATCTCAATCATGCTTGACTTCCCTCTTAGAGAAGGCAGCATCAGCTGCTGTGCTTTAGCAAGACAAATAGCTGATCTGAAATAGCCCTCTGGTATTGGATTATGGGCCTGCAGGCTGTAACAAGCACTTGGAGCTCACAGCTCCTCCACCCTGAAGATGTTCATAGGCCAAATACACCTGAAAAGTAACTGAGATGGTAGGAAGTCCTCCAGAGGTGGAAGGCCCAGCCTACCACATTGCATGGCACAATTGACAGACAAGTGTATTAGATGACAGCCAGTCATTTACAGACCATTTCACTCCTCAAAGCAGCACATGCTCTGTCCAAGAATGGATCTGGGTTCTGTGAATCTCCTCATCACACAAGGAATTGAAAAACCAGTGCTTCAAAGCAAAGGCTCACAGGCCTCTCCTCAGACCGCAGGAGCTGAAGCCATGCCTGCAGCCACCAGCCATTTGGGTTGGGAAAGCTGGAAGAGAACCATCAGCTCACACTCAGGCAGCCCTACAGTGCTCTTCCCAGTATGGCAGGCAAGCCTCCATGTCCCTGGGAGCTGGAGGATGGCTCCTGCTTAAGTATACAGGGCAGGACATCTAGCCTAAGGAAGCATGGATGGTTTAGGAAGCTGTGTCCAAGCGGTGGACATGAGTCACCGCTTGGACAGGAGCACAGCAGCCCTGTTGCAAGGGGATGGGTAACCAGTGCTCACACGTGGTCAGGACAAGCAGCAGGAAAGCAGCATGCTGGCAGAGCTATGTGGAGCTCGCTTGTCACACACCAATTCAGCACAGCCATGGCAGGAACTGGGCTTTGTCCTGTGAAAGATGCAGATCCTGGTACAAACCCCACCAGCAAGGATCCCAGAGATGAAGGTCAGTCTCAGACAAAGCTTGGGTCCTGACTAGAGACTTTGAAGGAACCTGGGAGGAGGTAGGGAGTGACATAGCCAGATCCAGCAGACATGGTCAGCACAAGACCACTGTGGGATCATAGAATCACAGAATGTTTTGGGTTGGAAGGGACCCCTAGAGGTCATCTAGTCCAACCCCCCCCGCAGGAGCAGGGATACCGCTAACTAGATCAGGCTGCTCAGAGCCCCATCCAACCTGGCCATCACATAGTTGAGGAGGTTTAGTTTCACTGCTTCTGCAAGGAGTCTTCCCCATCAGCTTCCAGACTGTGGCTGCAGTGAAGGATCACTCATCTCTCACAAGGCACCCTTAGTCAGCTATTTTTCTGCTGGGATGTCTTGGCTCCTGCCTTCCAGTCAGCACTGAGGTAGCAAGGGCACTCTGAAGCTTCAGAAATCAGGCTCCTGCCAACAGGAGTTCAAGTAATTTCGGGGTTTGAGGGTTGTCTGATCCAGTGTAGTAGTTTCAAGCTTTTGAAAGCCCTCCTTCCTACAGGGCACCACACAGCTTCAGCAACCCTGTTCTGAGAGCCAGCTTCACCATCTGGCTCCTCTCCCCCAGTCTGAGGGGGAGATGAACTCAGGAAGCACTTAGTGGGGAGCAGGACACAGTACTTAGCAGAGGGAGATATCCAGCCCCTGTGGCCAAGGGGCACAGTACTACAAGCAGGCTCTGAAGCCCTCTGCCCATACCAGCCCAGAGAATTACAGAAGTGTGGCACAATCCACTCTGTGTCCCAAAGCTCATCTGGGTTACAGGAAACCCGGGCCTTGGAAGGACCACGTGGTGACTTCAAAACAGAGAAATCCCCAAATCCTTCTCTCTCCTTAGTTTGCCTGTAGGCTACATTCAACCACTTTGGGACATCAAGGACATCCAGCTGGGAAACTTCTTGGTTCAGCACCCATTCACACAGTGTGGAAATTCATCCGAGGTATTCGTACTTCTGCTCCAACTCCCAGAAAAGCAGTCTGTAACCACAGCCTCTGAACAGCAGAACAAATGTGAGTCCCTGATTCATATTCCAGCTGATCACCCCAGGTGAGAACAGCCCCTCAAGCTGAGAAGGGAGATGCCACTGGCTAACAGAAAGATGCTGGCTTCCACAGCTGCAGTAGCCCTGTGCAAGAGTCTCCCAAGACTCTCCCCCAGGGCCCCGAGGACTAAGGCACACAAAGGTGGCTCA